GAAACACTGCAAGGAAATGAAGCTCAACAGCAGTCACTTGAGTTAGATTTTTTTGTATTGCTATTTTTAAAAAATGTACTAACTTGATAGCTAGTCTGTGTTAAAATCTGCCTTCATTCTGTGGCAAGTCTTGATAACTTGTTAACAATAACTTGCTCACAAGTGTTTTTCCCTTTGCTTAGCAACACTAAATTTTGTGTTTAGCTGGGTGAGAATACAGCAGAGATAAAAACAATAAATACAGAAGCTCAGGTTCTTGGGGTTCTGAAGTTATTTAAATATCTCTTTACATTCTTTGGTAAGGCTTTCAAAATACATCTAACAAAACCAGGCAGGCTGTTCAAAAGAAGCATTCACTCTGAAGAATACTTCATTCCTGTGTGGTTTAGTTAAAAGGACTTTTGTTCCAGCTGTTCTAACCCTTAAGGAACTGACAAACCTGAATCATCTTTTAGTGTTAAATGCAGAGCTAAGTAGTATGTTGGTGCTCAGGAACAAAACTAGTCTTTCCCCCTCTTAGGAAAGGGGTTAGTTGTGTCTAAGGTTAGACTCCCTCCCCTGAGACAACATAAGACTGGGCTTACTGTTGGAGAGACTGCTTCTGACTCCACTTCTGCCTTCTAAAACTTGTGAGGAAACCTTCTGCCAGCTCTGTCATTCAGTGCAGGAGAGTGTTCACCTCAATCCCTGTGCCAGAGTTCTGATTTCCTTCCTTCAGTGACTATTGTGGTGAGTCTTTGAGAAGGGGCATCCTTGATGTTCTTTGTAGGCTGCCTAACTTCAACAGCCTGAACCATCCTGTTCACAACCTGACCCCAGGGGCAGAGAGCCAAGAAGCTGAAGCTTGGTGTGGTGGGTTTTGTTGCTGCACTGCCTGCTCTCTGTTCTGATTCAGCAGGCCAGAAGCCTGACTGCAGTTCTTCACTCCAAGTGGGACTTCATCTTCTAGCTTCAGGGAAAGAGACATTACTGCATGCACTCTGACTTCTTGCAGTGGAAGCCAACATGCTTGAGGGTAGGGGAAGCAGCACCAGGTATTTTCCTCAGGCAGAAGAGTAGTTTTCATCTCCAGTGAAGAGGAGGAGGGATGTGACCCATGATCTGATCATGGTACAGCAAAATGTGTGTACATGCACATGGCTCCACAACTGTTCCACTGTTTTGATGTCCTTCCTTTTGAGCACAGTTTTTTAGGCAGCATGAATTGCTGTCTTTTTATTTAATAATACTCCTGTCTTCACTTAGTGGCTGTTCCATTGAGTTTTTAGTGTAAAATTAGGTTGATAAGCATTTAATCTCTTGAGGAAGAAGCTGTCTTCCAGCTTCCATCTGGTCTTGTAAATTTGGCTTCAAGTAGACCAGATTGTATCTAATTTCAAGTAGAACCCCACCAAACATAGGTGATGTAGGTGTGAGGGGAGTGGCTTCTGCACTAATTGGTATGAAGTGCTCATCAACTTCTGCCTATCAGGGACTTGCTTATGTTGCTGTAGCCAAAAACACCCTTGCAATACAGCAGGTTGTGGTGGTAGGAGATCCTGAGCACAGGTTGACAGTGCTCTGTACTGTCATTTTACCTGCTAGACTTTTATAAATAAGTTGCTTTTTTGTTATTGAAGGAGAAATGGTTAAAAAAGTGAGAGAACATCTTTACTGCCTGAAAGAGTCTCAGTTTAATTTAATTTGATAAAGGAAACCAAAAGAACATTGTGAATTTCATACCTTTGTGTTTATTGTTATAGTAACAGTTTTAATTATTGTGGTTGTTAGTAACAATTTATGCCTAATTTAATGAATGTATAAATTGTAGAGGTAGGTTTCTTTTAGAATAGCATCCTGTTGTTAAGAATCTTTAAAAATACTGTCTGAACTAATACTGCCTTGGTGGGAGGGAGAGGTGCAGTGTACACTTCAGCAAGTGTTGCTTTAGCCTTGCTTACTCTTAAACAAAAGTGGTTTGTGTTTTAAAAAAAGTGGGGGGAGCTTCTGATAACTGATTCTAAGCCTTAAATATGTGCTGGAAGCAAGGAGGTGTAATGGGAACTTTGCATTTATTTGAGCTTAGTTTGATGCTGGGATTTGTTCATGAGTATCTTGGTCAACATCTGAATATTTTCAACTTCTGATGAGAAAGGTCTTGTTCTGTGTAGCTGTCTGATCCCACTTTTGGCCAAATACTTTGTGAAATGTTGTTAGGAACACTCGAAGGAAATATGTAACACTAGGAATTTTTTAATGGGTATTAAAGGAAGAGCTTTGTGGGGTTCTGAGTCTTTGAGCATTGCACATGTGCCACAAAGGCTCCATTTCAAACCCTCACAGTGTCAATTTTGTGGTTAGTGGCACGATGGGGAAAATTCTTGTTCTCATATTAATCCACTAAACATCAAGTCAGTGTTACTAGTTTTAACCAGAAGTTTGTCATTAAGAATGTAATTCAGTAATAATTTAAGATGAAACAGTTGTGTGGTGCCATTTGGGAACAGGGCAGTTCTCAATACTGGTTTTGGGTTTGGTTTTGTATTTTTTAACCAAAACAAACTGAAGGTAATCACTTTGTAGTATTAAAAATGAGAAGATATGATCATTTCAGGTGAATTAATGCTGTGCTATCTCTGTCAAGTTTCTTGAATGCTATTATAGTGTGCTGGGCTTTTCTCAGAAACTGGTGACTCCTTGGAAGAGGAGTTGTTAGGTGAAACCTGTACCTGGTTGCCACAGGCTCTCTGTGCAGTTTGGGTGTGCTCTTCAAGGAAGGGGGGCAGCAGTGTGGGCTGTGCATTTTGAGTGCTTTGATACTATTCTTACAAGCTCAGATCCTGTGCTACATTTTCTCAGTCTGCCTAGGGGAGCCTGATGTTGAACATGAAGGAACTTTTCATTCTTGACTTCCCCCCCTTCATTTTTGATGCTCAAGTATTATGGACTTCAGGCTAAAATTGATGGGGAGGTTTAGTGGAAAAAAAAAAGTAATGTTTAAAGAAGAATCTGTGGGAGAAATACTAATTTATGGTAACTATTGTAACTCTTCAACAAACCTATGTGTTTTTCTCTTTTTAGTTCACATGAGAGATCCTAATAATCAGCTTCACATCATTAAAAATTTGAAGATTGCTGTCAACAACATCATTACTCACCCACCTCAGCCCAGCGCCATCCGAAAGCTTCTCCACGACGTTGTGTCTGTCAGCCAGCCTGCTGAAGGACTGGTGGCCAACGTCATCACAGCTGGGGACTATGACCTCAACATCAGTGGTATGGCATGGCCTTGTAGTTTTTCATAACTTGCACTGGAATTTGCTGTAAGGTTTCTCATCAATTTAAAGGCATACCCCTTTTTTTTAGCTGAAACTTGAGATTTATCAAATCACGTTGGTTTTATATGTAATGCTAAAAGAATGGTTGAACTTAAGAATTCTTAATGTTTCTAAGGTAATTCTTCTGAACTTGTGTTATAGCATCATATTATTTTAATGTAGAAAATACTTGTGCATTGGTGGTGTTAATAGCTCAATGAGATGAGAGGTTTTCCTGTACAAAACTGATATACTGACGTGCCTGATTAAATATCAGAACTTTATTTATAATGCATTAATGCACAGCTTTATGTTGAAGTTAGCTCTCCTGGCCTCTCTTGGTTTTCTCTTCTATTGCTTCATACATAGAGTTCATACAATGGCCATAAAAAGCTTAAGGAACAAATGTTTTGGGGAAAGGTGTTTGCTTCCTTGTCTTTTGTGGTTTGTGTTTAATATTTCACTGTTGAAATGACTGGAATATTCTTCAGATGTTTATTCAGACCTCTAAGGGATAAGGTGTTGTGACTAATACTGAATGAGACCTGATCTTGAGACCTGAGAAGATTAAACTCCTCCCAATTAAGACCCTAATCTGTGAAAGCCTTTGAGCACATAATTGAAAGCATGTATGCATTGCCCTACTTAAACATGAGTTTAGGCTTCATGAAGATTAGTAACCAACATTGTTGTAGTAGTATGCTTGTGGTTTTTTTCCTTTAGTTGATGAAATGTTACATTATTCTACATCTTTGATACCTAATTTACAAGCTGCATCCTCAGCTTGAGTCTGGAAATTGTAATTTTTGAGAGCTGTTCAGCTGCTTTTTCAGTTTCCATGCACTCGTTTATCAGAAACTGGTGAATTGACTTTTCTGTAAAAGTCTTTGGAAGGAAAGTCTGCTTCAGTTCTAGAGACTGGGAAAACCCTGAGGAACCAGGATGGCTTCAGTCAAGAGAATTTACCACAACTTTTCTAATTCTCTCAATTTAGAAGTCAAGTATTGAAAGAAAGGAATTAAAATAGTGGCTCTATCAAGCCATGCTTTGTAGTTGTAGAGGCAAATAACTTTCCTTTTGTTTTCTTTATTTGCTGCTGGAGCTTTAGATGTACAAATTACCATACTTGACAACCTTCTATCTCTAGTTAGGTTCTTATTTCCAGTCAGACTGGCTATATACTTACTTGACAGAAGGAGAGATATATAAGCTGTTGAAGATCATACTAGAAGGACAAACTCATGTAAAAACTGTAGTTTGGTAGTACCCAGTTTTTTAGGGCTTTAGCACAAAACCCTGCACAGTGTTCTTGATGATGAAACTTGGATCCCATTACATTGTAGGAGGACATGAAGAAGTCCCTAGCTTGTCAGGTAGAGTTCCTTTTTCACTTAGAAAACTATGAATATTTACTAAGTAACTTATTTTTTTTCAGCTTTGTTAGAGCATTTTATTGAAAACCAATGGAAGCATTCATTCCTGGCAACAAAACAATCTTGGCATGGAAATGTGACATACTCTAATCTGTTCTTTGCTCTTTTTTGCACCAAAAAGAAAAGAGCCCTTTTGGTGAATTAGTTTTCTAGGACAGCAATATTAAAACATATTTCCTTAATCTGTAATGATGATTAAATGCAGTCTCTTTTGCAGGAAGACACAAGCATTAAGAAGCTCATATGAGTGTTACCAGCACTAGGATCATGATCCTGCCTTTTTTATTTAAAAAAAAAAAAGTTTTGGAACTCTTGTATTGAATTGGTTTGTTTCTAATCCCTCTTTGTTACACTTGTTGTCTAATAGTTCCATAATCTTCTTGTAGAGACCTGGCTGATAGCTGGAAGGGTGCTGAAGTTCAGCCATGCCTGCTTCTCCCATTAAAGACTTCATTATTTTTTCTTGTCTCTAATAAGTTTTCAGGTGGATCACTTCCCTGGCTGTGTCTGTTCAGGGCTGTGTGATTCAGCAATGCAGGAATGTGGTGGAGATGAGGGAGATGTTAGGTACTGAAAGTGGCTGCCCCAACATCTCCAGTTACTTTTAACTAGAAGCACTGTAGGCTGAAAAATTTCAGGAATTAATGTCTTTTATGTATAATGTTTTCCAACTAAAAAATAGAAATCATATCTAAATATAACTTAAATCCTTAATGCCTTATAGATTGCCATTTTTATTCAAGCCCAGAATTTGGGCTGAACCAGAAATCAATATTAAATGCACTGTCTAATGTTGAGGAGCCTGAGATGTTCATGATTAGGGTTAGCTGGAATCAAATGTCTTCAGTCCCTGATGGGCCTACATGGTATAGATTTTATTTCATGCTACCAGAGAGTAAAAGCCAATAGTGTGTTTGCACCTGCCCCTTTTTAGTATAATAATATCCTGTTTTTTCTGTCAGATCGCTCAGTTAAAGCTAGTGTTCCTTGGTACAGTAATTGGAAAGAGACACTGATGGAACTGAACACATCCACCTTTTATTCAGGTATTTTTTTTTTTGTGGTTGGTGCCAATTTGCCCAATTGCCCTTTTTTCCTCTTCCATGTGCCCCATCCACCTTTCCTTGCCATCTGCTACCACTGTTTAGCACCTTTCTTGGCGTAGATGTGTGTTCCTCCATTTTTTTTCCCCTCCTAAATGAAAAACTGCTGGTGGTGGTGATTTAATTTCTCTTCACATTTCTACTCCTCTTAATCTAAATCATTTGGTCTTTCCATGCAGTCAATAACTGCAACGTGGTGGTGGGAAATGACCTGATGCTGTACAAGGACTGTCCTGTGTGGGCCTATGGAACTGTATATTGCCACTGGTTGATGTTTCCCATGTAAATAGTGTCTGCTTCTGTAGAGAACTTCCTTCTCAGGAGATACTAGTGCTTTCCAAACTGGAACTAAAGTGCTGACTGTGCTTGGAGCACATA